TGCAGGAAAGCAGATAATAATGAAGTGTGTTAATGTTATATGATGTAGGTTTCACTTTGTTTCAGTTGGCCTACGTGCTGTGGGAGGGGATGATGGGGTTTCTTGGGGGCAAGATTCTCTTTTTGGTTGTGGATTAGCTGCTATTCCTGCCTAATCATCTGTACTAACCTTATGTCGTTCTCAGCTGCTTGTGGAGTGGAAACCCTCTACAGGAAGCCTGTTTTTGAGGAAAGCTGATCAGCACAAGCCAGAGTAACCAATAGAAAAAGATGTGTATGCTAAGAACTAAATTGGCTTACAATTGAAAAGGAGAAGGTAGTATTTAGTATTTGACTAAACTTTGAATATACTTTCCAGTTACATTCACTTTTATTCATAGCTTGAACTGGAAAGAGGGTTAGAAAAGCAGTCTAGAATTGGGGTTTGCAGTTCACATTTAACCATTTTTCCCTACCTTATTCCATTAGCCAAACATTTAGCTAACAACATGGGTCTGATGTAAATTCGTTGTGCAATAGTATTCTCTTTTTTCTTCCCCTCGTACATCTGTGTTTTCTTAGCAAATACAAAGGTTTGCCTTTGCCTTCTTCCAGAATGTTCCTCGACTAGTTTATCACCTTGGGATTTGCTGATGGGGTACTCAAGTACTGAGCAGGCCTTCTCATGCTTTGGAGTCCAAATAAAACTGGGCAGGTGCTGAGGTCTGGCTATTGATCAGTGTGATCCAAATTATCTCTTCTCTATCTCCTGTTTATCCTTGAACAGCCTTTGGCAAAGGTTTAGGGGAGGACATGGAAGGAAAGAAAGGCATGATGCAGATTTGAGGTGGCATTAATGATCAAGTCCAGGATTGTATCTGTGATACGACCATGGTCAGTAAATGACCAGGGGCTGGTTGATAAGTTTCTTTAGGGCAGTGAAAAACATGCTTAATAATGTTGGTGCACCTGCTTCTTTTGTGAAAATGTGTTTCACAAAAGCACCAGTTACTGCCTTCTTCCTTGGTGTGGCTTCGTGGGAGCAGTATTCATGTTGCCCACTCAGAATATTTATTTCTATGTCTTTTTACAATCAGTCTCACCACTTCCTGTTTGGCAAGCAGCCCTTCCTGTTTTTTTGCTGGGTTTTGTTAATGAGAGTCCTGCCTAGATCTTGGTTTATGATCACCATCAACCCTAAACCCCCTTGCCTGAAACCGATGAAGTTGGGGACCTTCAATCGGATGCTGCGCTATTCTAATGAGAACTTACCAAATTCTCATTGCCCCATAAGCTCTCAGGAAAGACTCAGTGGATTGTGACTCACAGCGGGCTAAAGGCAGCTTCCTACTTTCAGATCACACTAGCCCAGCTGCCCTGCATATTCTTTCATGTTTTTGTTTTATTGTTAAGGTGGAGGCTATGGGTGAACCTTGTTTGTAGTGATGTGCATCAGCTGATGCTGGAGGCAATAATGGGCAGTGAGAAACCATAAACAGTGAGGTAGAGAAACATTTCTCTGAGATACTCTCAGGCAGGAAAGATCAGGTACATGAAGGTTCAGTTAAGCTGATTTATTGCTAAAGGCCTGTGCACAGATATTTTTTTCAATAATTTAATTAATTATTTTCTCAATTAATGGTCAGCACCTGAGTAGAATTAAATAAGGGTCATTGGCTCTCGGATAGAGTTGGGAGTACATTTGCAGCTACCTACAGATTCTAGGCTGATCCCTCTTTTCACTCCACCCCCAGGTTCTGTCTTTCCTTCTACAGATGCAAATGTATAAGGAACTCTTCTCCCATAACCCTCTTGGAGCCATAAATGCCAAAAGTGTAATCCATGATTATTTTTTTACCATGTGTACAGCATCTGACTCTGTGTGAGTGAACAATGAAGAATGTGTTAAGTTATAGTGTCTGCAGGCAATTTAGCTAAATATAGACCTAACATAGTTTGTTCAGAATGGGATGACTACAGGTAATCCTCAACTTAAAACAGTTCAATTTAGTGACCGTTCAAAGTTACAATACTGAAAATGGGACTTATGACCACACTTACAACTGTTGCAGCATCCCCATGACCATGTGATCAAAATTCAGATGCTTAGCAACTGGTTCGTACTTATGATCATTGCTGTGTCCCAAGGTCATGTGACTCCCTTGTGCAACATTTTGACAATCAAGGGCAATGGGGAAGCCAGATTCACTCAGCTGGGTTACTAATTTATCAACAGTGATTCACTTAACAACTGTGACCAGAAGATTCATAAAATGGGGCAAAATTCACTTCACATGTCTTGCTTAACAACATAAATGTTGGGCTCAATTGTGGTCGTAAGTCAAGGATCACTTATACATACTATTTTAGAGGGTGTTTGTGATCTATCTTGTCACAATGAGGAAGGGCTTGTGGAGCTTGGGGGTGGGGAGAGGAGATAGATAAGCCTTGGAGAAAGCTTAATTTGCCACCATCCCAAGGGTTTGTCTTTTAGGGTTTGAATTGCTTTGCTCAGTAAAGGAATTTACTCTGTTTCTGTTGTTATGAAATCTCAATATAAAGGAGAGGCTGAGAGGTCCATCATATTGCACAGTTCCTTAGAATTGTGCAAGACATAGCATTTGTAGCATTTTTCTTAGCTCCTCATCTTCCTCAGTTTTTTGTTGTTGTTTTTTGCCGCAGGGAGAGCGCCATCCCTGTGGACGTGGCCAGACAGAGGGAACTTAAGTGGCTGGACATGTTTTCTCATTGGGATAAGTGGCTCTCACGTCGGTTTCAGAAGGTGAGCAGAGATCAGGGTCAGAGACCTCTGTTCCTGACTAATAAAACAGAGCTTTAATTTCTGCTTGGGTTTTTGGAATTTCTGTCTCTTTACTTTTTTTTTAATGACCATTGCGCCATCCCTGTGGTCACATGTCCAACATTCGGTCACTTGGCAACAGCATTTAAAATGGTTGAAGTGTTCCAGGATCATGTGATCACCTTTTGTGACATGACAAGCATAGTCAATGGGGAACCAGATTTACTTAACCATATTATGAACAACTGTAGCAATTCATCTAACAACTGTGGCAAGAAAGTTTGTAAAATGGGGCAAAACTCACTTTACTGTCTTGTTTAGCAATGGAAATTTGGGACCCAATTGTGATCCATAAGTGAAGGACTACCTGTATGGTGTTACTTTAAAGCAATGTTTCTCAACTTTGGCAAGATGGCTGGACTTCAAGTCTCCAAATTCCCCAGTAATCCTTGCTGGGAATTGATCTTGCTGGAATTTGAATTCCCAGAATTATTTCTGGGAGTTGAAATCCACCTACTTTATATTTGCTAAGATTGAGAACTTCTGCCTTAAGGCAAGCAGTATTTACTTCATGTACTAATGATTGTACATTTTATTGCAGGTGAAATTGCGGTGCCGGAAGGGGATTCCCTCTTCTCTCCGTGCCAAAGCATGGCAGCTACTCTCAAATAGCAAGGAACTTTTGGATCAAAATCAGGGAAAATTTGAGGTATTTCCGTGAATCTTTTGAGACTACTAAAATATACAGGAAAGCCTATTTTTTTTTATCTTGGAGAATGCAGAAGATTTGATCATGTCTAATAAGATATATTTATATCCTACTTTTCCGAACGCAACTTATTCTGAAGTAGCTTACACCTAATATTAAGCTATATTAATAAGCTGCAATAGAAAGCCCCTAAACAGAGGTGAAATTCAGCAGGTTCTGACAGGTTCTGGAGAACTGGTAGTGAAAATTTTGAATAGTTTGGAGAACCGGCAAAAACCACTTCTGGCTGGCCTTCATAGTGGGGTGGGAATGGAGATTTTGCAGTATTCTTCCCCTGCAACGCCCACCAAGCCACGCCCACAGAACCAGTAGTAAAAAAAAATGAATTTCACCATTGCTTCTAAACCTAACAATTGGGAACTCTCCTGAATAACAGGGTGAGAAGGGAGAAGGTTGAGCTGGAACAAGCAGACACCTGGAATGTCTTTCTGGAATCCTTTCCATAAAACAGCAACAATCAGTCCTGTGAAGCAGTGTTTCTCAACTTTGGCAGCTTGAAGTTGAGTGGACTTCAACTCCCAGAATTCTCCAGCCAGTTTGTCTGGCTGGGGAATTCTGGAGTTGCAGTCCACCCATTCTGGGGATGTGGTCCACCTTCTAAGATAGGCCTCTGCCTCCAAATTCACCAACTTTCTTTCCTTGTTGGGCTTTCTTTTCTCTTAGGATTTGGAGCGTCAGTCTGGTGATCCCAAATGGCTAGATGTGATTGAGAAGGACCTCCATAGGCAATTCCCTTTTCATGAGATGTTTGCAGCTCGAGGAGGCCATGGGTGAGAAAATTAAAGAAGGGGCATTTTGGGTCCAGTGCTGAGACCATTTTGGCTGGAAAGCCACTAAGATCCTTTCCGTTCTCAGAATGCATAAAACACTTTTTCCCCTACACACACTAGATCAGCTTGTAAGTCCCAACTCCTTTTGAAATTTTTCATAAGCATACAGGTAGTCCTCAATTTGCAATGACAATTGGGACCAGAATTTCCATTGCTAAACAAAGTGAGTCACATGGTTGTTAAGTGTATCATACGATCATTAAGTGAATCTGGCTCTCTCCCCCCTCCCCTCCCCCTTTCATTTTGCTTGTTGGAAACTGGCTGGGAAGGTTGAAAATGCAGTCACATGATCCTGCGATGTTGCAGCCATTATAAATATATTGCCAAGGGCCTGAAAATTTGATCACATGATCCTGGGGATGCTGTGACAGTTGTAAAAGTGAGGGCCAGCCGTAAGTCACTTTTTTTCAGAGCTGTTGTAGCTTAAAACAAATGGTGGTAAGTTGAGAACTATCTTTATTGGCCCAGCTCTTTCTCACATTGAATTGTCTCTACCACCCCAGCTTCTACTATTCCTGCTCCTGTATCTGACCTCTGATGTGCCTTTCTTCATCTCTAGACTTAAGATAATGGGACACAGGTTAATCAGGAACTCGTGTCTGCCATGACACTTTTAGCTGTTTCATTAAGTAGCCCCATTATGGCATATTTGACGGCACGGCAGCCTTCAGCTCCAGTGCGCATGTGCTTGCCTGTCAGCTGACTTTCAGCTTTCCAGAGGGCCAGAGGAGGTCATTTTCGGGGGGGGGGGGAGTGTTGCTTGCGCATGTGCAAGTGGGGCTGGCGGCTTGCACAGCGCAGATGGGCGCGCGCAATAGTGCTCTCACACAATTTTGGCACACCTTTAGAAAAATATTAACCATGAATGAACTACCCTATAGACCAGTGATGGAGAACCTTTTTTGGCTCGCATGCCATAAGTGGGGAGGAGTGTAGGGGAATCGTGTGTGGGTGTACCGCACCCATAATGCAATGCGTGACCCCCCCAATGCATATGCGTGCACTACAGACGCAACCCCCAATTTTTTGCATTCTTTTTTCGCCCTCCCCAGGCTCCAGAGTCTTTATAGGAGCCTGAGGAGGCGAAAAAGCCCCCCCCCCCCCCGGGCCCCTTACCAGGGACCTTCAGGAGGCTTCCCTGAAGCCTCCGGAACTCTTAAAACGACTCTCCGAGCAAACCAGAAGTCTGTTCCCAAACTTCCGGTTTCCCAATATGGCTGGGTTTTTTTTTGCACTCCGGAGGCTTCAGGGAAGCTCCTGAAACCTCCCAAGGGCCTCAGGGGAGGTGGAGGCTCTTTTCGCCTTCCCCAGGCTTCTATAAAGACTCTGGAGCCTTGGGAGGGCGAAAAAGGGCTTTTAAAAAGGGTGAACTTGCGTGCCCTGAGAAATGGCTCCGCGTGCCATAGGTTCGCCATCCCGGCTGTAGACCTTGTTATTAATTAAAGACGCCAAAGAAACATAACAGAGAATTCTGCTTTCCTAAACTTTGGCCTTGTGAACAGGGAGCTCCGATAAAGTCCAAGAATCTAGATTAAAATTTCCACTCCTCATCCTTTTCCCTCACAGGCAGCAGGACCTCTATCGCATCCTGAAAGCCTATACTATCTACCGGCCAGAAGAAGGTTACTGCCAAGCACAGGCGCCCGTAGCTGCAGTTTTGCTGATGCATATGCCCGCAGAGGTGAGGAGCTGCTTCATTCGCACTGCAATTGCCAGCTTGGAAATCCTAGTTTCTCTGGGAAAGAACCACACTACCTAATTTTACTTATATTTGCAGAATATTTCAGCAGTTTGGAGCATGTATATCAGAGGTCCCCGATCCTCAGGCTGTGGACCACTACTGGGCCATCGCTTATTCTGAACGGGCAGCACAAGAGGCAGGCTGTTGTGTGTGTGCAGCTCCACTTGCATGAGTGGCGCCCCAAAGGCTGTTCCATTGGGTTAATGGAGCTGCATGTGTGAGTGAATACTGGCCTGCCCTTGCCTGGGCCAGTTCCCCTCTCTCCCTGCCAACTAGGCCTCCAAGCCGCCTACTTCTGATTCTTCAAGAGGGGAGCAGTGAGAGAAGAGGCAGTGAAGGGGACGAGTGTGCCCTGCTCAGCTTTGCTGACTCACTGAAGCTGCCTGTGCTGGACACCTCGTCCGCTTTTGGACTGTTGGGCAACCTGGGTGAGTCTGAAGGAGCATGAGACGGCGCCCCCCAAATCTTCTCAATGCCAAAAGCTTTTGTAAATGGATAAAAAGCTTTCGGGCTGTTTCAGGCTTCCATCCTTTTGCAAACACTTTTGGCATGGAGAAGCCTAAAGGAGCATGAAGCCATACCCCAAAGGCTTCCCTCATGCTTGAATGTAGCTGCCCGCATTCCACCACCACTCCATGAAGCCCGGTTCCCCTCGCTTTCCCAACTCATCCAGGCCACCAAGCCACAAAGGTTGAGGACCACTGATATATAGATAATAATCGCTGTACTTTGGAAGTCTTTTTACAACAGGCACCCTGCTCTTCTACACATCAACCTCTGTCTTTTGAACTGCCAGGGACTTCATCAGTTCCAGAAGCCGGGTCTAGAGCATTGACAGTGACCATGTTTTCATGCAGCCTCATGCATGTGTGAGGTTAAAATATAACTATTACACTAGCTGGCAGTCCTGATGGGATCTGGGTTAAATTGTTTCCAATTGTGACTTTGTTTTTCTTCTGTGGCTTTGCTACCAGCTCTGATGTGTTACTTCTGTGTCATTGAAGAAACCTGGAAGCTCCAGGTTTGGGAAAGGGCTAAGCCCCTGAATTGAATTTGCTGGCTTAGTAACTGGAAAGTTTTAACTAGGAGTTTGCTAGTCTACCATGCACCCAACCATGGCTGCTGCGATTATCTGGGATAAAGATTCCTTGGTCTCTCTCTCTCTCTCTCTCTCCACAGCAAGCTTTCTGGTGCCTGGTGCAAATCTGTGAGAAATATCTTCCTGGATACTACAGTGCTGGATTGGTAAGTTTAACTGCTTTCCCATAGAGAAAAGCATTTTAGAATTGTTCACTGGGAATACCTTTTGTATTACACGTAGTTCTTGCTTAACGATCGGTCTTTTAGCAATCGTTTGAAATTATGATGGACTCCTCAAAAAGAATTTACAACCCATATTTGAAGTTCCGATGACTGCGCCCTTTAACTCCACCCACCCATCCCTGCATTTATGTGATTGCCTTTTGAGTGCAACTAGCCTGCATTTATGACTATCTGCAGATCTCCTGCAGAGACCTGACTATGGTTTCTGGTGGGAAGGGGGTGGGGAGACAGCCAATGGGTTTGCTTACTGATTGTGGTGTTTGCTTAACAAGTGCGGGGCATTTGCTTAACAACCGATACAAAAAAAAAAAAAAGGAGTTGTAAAGTTGGATTGGTCATGTGAATGCCTCAATTTACGGCCAACATAACTTACAGCGGGAAATCCTGGCTCCATTAGGGGTCATAAGTTGAGAAATACCTGGGCACAGAAACTTCCAGTATAAGGATGGGCACTAGGGGTTTCATTTCTTGATAAAATGTTAAAGATCCTGAGAATCAAGGAGTTAGCAAACCTGATGTCACAAGAAGGAAAATAGTATAAAAGTTCTTTTATAAAGTGTGGATTTTTTAAAACAGCCAAAATAGATGTATACAAATAAGAAAAGGCATAGGTAATCTTCAACTTACAACAGTTAATTTAGTGACCATTCAAAATTACAGCGGCACTGAAAAAAGTGACTAATGACCATTTTTCATACTTATCACCATGGCAGCTTCAATTATCAAAATTCATATGCTTGGCAACTGACTCATATTTATGACGGTTGCAGTGTCCTGGGATCATGTGATCCCCCTTTGCAACCTTCTGACAAGCAAAGCCAATGGGGAAGCCAGATTCATTTAACAACCATGTAACTAATTCAGCAACTGTGGTGACTCACGTAACAACTATGGCAAGAAAGGTTGTAAAATAGGGCAATATTCACTTAACAAATGAATCACTTAGCAACAGAAATGTTGGGCTCTGTTGTGATTGTAAGTTGAGGACTACCTGTATTAAGCTTGCTAGAAGCTTTAACAAACCTGCTTTGATTTTACACCCTGTTGGTTTAAAAAATAAGTTGCACTGATGAAAAATGTTCATTGGTTGCTGAAACATTGTTCTTGTCACTTGAATCTTAAAGAGTTTTGGGGGGATTATGAATGGAAAGGCACCTGATTCAGCCTGTAGATTTCCAATCTGGCCAAAACGGATGGGATTCCCTTATCAATGTACAGAAATGATGGTGCTTCTTGGTATCATCTAAGGAAGACATAGCATTGTCTCTAGTAGAAATATATATTGTGCTGGAGGATGGAATTTCCTGGAAAAGTTGGAAAAATATTCAGTAGGGCATTGGATTTGAAGACAACCCCCCCCCCCCTTTTGCAGCTCCTTAAAGAAGCTCATCCTTTTTCAGGATTGTGCAGCTGCAGAGCAGTTTTGAAAACAGAGGGTGTGGTCTTAAGGAATTCCCAATGGATGCTATCTGCAAACTTTGGCTTTCCACAGCTAGAATATGTACTTCTTGTAAAGAAAGGCAATAGTTTTTCTGTTAGGCTACCTCATCTCAGTTGGTTTTTCGGCAGGTTTCTTCAACCTCTTCTCACTTCCCCTTCTCCCCCCCCCCCTCTCCCCACCACTTCTGGGTCAACTTGAAATTTCATATTCTCTGACTGATCTTAAGACTGAGTTAAATCATGAGTTATCTGTCATGAGTAGGCGAACTTCTGGCAGGTGTCTCATGATGAGCAAAGCTGAGCCCTGTCCACCCCTCTGAGGTCAATCTGGTTTCTTAATTCATTGAATTGAAAGGAGCAACACAATTTTTGCC